GTAGTGGTAGTGGTAGTGGTAGTGGTAGTAGTCGTGGTCGTGGTCGTGGTCGTGGTCGTGGTCGTGGTCGTGGTCGTGGTCGTGGTCGTGGTCGTGGTCGTGGTGGTGGTCGTGGTGGTGGTCGTCGTGGTGGTGGTGGTGGTGGTTGTAGTAGTAGTAGTAGTAGTAGTAGCAGCAGCGGCGGCCAAAAGTCATGTACCGGCACAATTGCATGCACTCTCTTGCTGCGACTGCGGATGGACCCTGGCATCTCCTCCTCAGAGCGCAGCGCGAACGTTCGAGGATTTACGCCTAGGCGAGCAGGCGTACGCTGAGCTTGGATCCGCTGGAACCTGATAGCTCCCCTCCCAAGAAGAAGCATGTCGAGTGCGATGCTGGTGGTAAGCCCCGTTGTGGAGGGTTCATCCTGTGGCGGGTTCAATCATGAATCATGGATCAGATTCTGACAGAAGTCAGGCCACGACAGGTCCATGCAGTCCACACGTGTTGCAGTGCAATGACGAGGCATTACCGAACTGAGGCGGTCTTGATTCGTACCAAGCTCTGCTATTCCGAGGACTTATGAGCGGTGGGACAAGGAGCCTCGTCTTCGCTGGAGAACATGCCATCACCAATTTTCGACGCCTTCCGTGAGAGACATGACCAGGGTGTTGAAAGGCCAGAACTTCTCTCGACATGCCGTCGCTTCTTAGGCTTCGATTCATGGATCTCACATGATCCATCTCCAGTCCGCAGCCTGCAGCATGTGAAAGCACCCTACCCCTGAGGCCTTCGTCGAGCAGAGCAGAAATTTGCCCAGGTTCAGGGATGGCAGCCTAAGTACAGAAAGCTGAGCCATAAACACAACCTCCGATGTCCCACAAAGTGCTGCATGGGCCCTGGGCTTGTCCAGCATCAGGAAGCCCTTGGGAATGATAAAGAGAGCAATCACCTAAGGGGGCTTGTCAGGTCGCCGTGCCGTTGAAGGACCCACAGTCCAAACGCCAAGCTTCTGGGCACCTGGCAGTGAAGAGGAATGCAGACATCCCCACCACCTGCAGAGCATTTGCAGTCCAAGGTCATGGACTGGGCGATGGTTGCAATCTTCACATGGCTTTAGGACGTCTGTCTCAGAGACGGAAATACCACAGTGCTACGTGCCAGCAAGGACCAAGCACTGAGAACTTGGCCGGAAGCACATTCAGCTCTAGGAGCCACCTCTGATTTGCTAGCAGGGACGTCGCCTCAAGCTCACAGGCAGTGTCTGAGTGGCATCGCGTCCACAGCATACAGCTTTATGCGGGCTTCCCAATCCGTCGGACGTCCCTCCGAATGGTATAATTGCGGTCTCCAACTGCCGTCCTGGCTCTAGCACCAAGTCAGGCCCGGCAACAATCAAGCACAGCTGCTGTATCAAACCAAGTGTGGGGCAATGTTGACCAGCAGGATTCCGGGGCCTGCATGGAAGAGCCTGCAATGGAGCACGCTCGGCGCAGCAAGGTGCACTCCGGCACATGTTCCAAAGTTGGACTGATGCAGGTCAGTCACAACATCAAGACTTCATGACAGAACAGCTTCTGGCTTGCCCCGGCGAGGCTCAGATGATCCCAAGATGATTTTGCCACAGTTGTCGCAGCTGCACAGTCGCGGGATCAGCAAGCTTGTCTACAGATCGACAACGAGCAGCAGCGGCACCTAAAGCCGGTGTGCGAGAGGTACTCCGCAGCCACAGAGCACGGGACATCCCGCCAGCGCACGTAGACCTTCTGCCTCTAAGGATTCAGGAAAGCTGTGCAGACTGTATGCGGCGTTCCCGGAGATGCTGCAGGTGACATAACCAAGCCTCGGCTTGCATTCGACCAGCCAAGCATACCTGGAGACCACACTGTCCAGCTGTCGTACAACTGAAATGGCTGCAGGTCAGAATGATCAGGAGCTGCGTATGACATTGTATGACCATTGACTGAACACATCGTTGACTGTTGGAAGCTGCTCCTCAGCTGCACTACTAGTACATGCGACAGGCAAATCCCACGCAGCGGAGAGAGCTTCCCAGACCAGACCACTTCCCGCGGCGCACAAATTGGTCAGGGTCCTCAGAGGCTTCCAAAGCATGCAATCTGCTCATCTTCTCTCCGAGCCGGAAACTCCGGAAAAGGCAGAAAAATGCAGGCCCTGCACTGGGTTCTGAACCGTGCCGGATGTCACGTCTGGGCAAGAAGGAAATGATCTTCGCGGCTCTGTGTGGCCGAGTCGCGAAATGATTCCGCGGTATGATCCATCAGGATGGTAGCAGGCGTTGCGAACCTGTGGAACAGCCATCTTGCTCGGCACCGCATCTTGCCGGACTCCAACCATCCCCGCAGCGGCCATGCCTCACCTAACATCCATCTGGTCGACTGCGACAGTGCTGAGATGGGATTGCGTGCCACGTCCTGACAGCGAGTGTGCAACAGAGCCCCCAAGTTCCGATTTGTCTGGGAAGCTATCTATTGCCAAACGGCCTCGTAGAGCGTGACCCCAATATCCACCGCTGGCTGAAGCAGCTTGGCTTCTACCTCAGCGTCTTTATCAGCTGCCTGGAGGCTGGAAGTACGGTAGTAGAGCATCGAGCTCCTGAGAAGCCCGCTGTGTCGTGGCTGAGAATATCAATTGGCAAGGCTTCCACAAGCCGCCCAGGCCTAGTCCCAGGAAGGATGTTCAAAGCGACAGCGATAACTGTTCAAGAGGTAGTACTGAGTAGCAGTATGCCATTGTGATGAATCCGGCGCCGGAACTACGAACTGAACACATGCCTCTGATTCTGATGCCGCTATGGGTTCCCACAAATATATCGAAGGTGCCGTGCGAACTGAAGCTAACATGCCTTGCGGCCGCTCAATGAGATGTTGCATCATGGCGCAGTCAGATCGAGCATTGGAAAGTCTCATGCCACGAGCTGTGGCTTTCAGAACCGTTCATCTTCCACAATCCCGATGCGAACTCCAGCTTCTGATTCAAGACCTCTCTTTGTGCCTGAATCGATGCCGTAAAAAACCAGGACAAGAGAGCGACCGAGATGTTCTGGAAACGGGAAATGTACATATATTTATATAGCTGATTGTACTAGTACAGAAGTACCATGATAGAACATTGACAACTACTGTATATTGTCAGGAGGGTGAAACATGAGCAAAATCAGAAGGAAAGAACGACATCCGTATTGATTCTTATTAATCGCTGTACTACACATCTTCAGGGAAAGGCTCTAGTCGGAGACCGAGCGTCATGGGCCGACTGCTTTCGACAACAGCAGCTGCACGCATCTAAAGCTGCTCGTTTAGGCCCCAACATCCCGATGAGTCTCGAGATGTACATGGAGTTGCGCACCAGACCCTGCGCAAAGAACGAATGCCACACACCGCCTGTGAACTCCACTTCTCCGGCCTTCCCATAGAAGCCCGTTCGGTTGAATATCCAGAACCTGGCAGTTTGGGGCTGTGAGCGGGCACATCCTACAGCCGTGAAGCAGTCGCAAAGCCCGACCAAAGCAGACATGGCGGACTAGAATGCACTACACTAGACTCTAGTCAGTATGCTATGGAATAGTACACCTGCCGATGTGTACTCTGCAGCTGCGGGTGTAGGTGGCAACAACGCCCGCTGAGGCACCGGCTGCCCTCTAACTAGGTTGACGGTCGAGACCTGAGAACTGGAGGAACTTCGCACTTGCCGGGACTGGAGCAACGAGGCCTCGCCTCCATCAGGGCGTTGCGCCACATGTGCCAGGTGCAGTCCTCAGTCTGGCCAAAGCTCACTGCCGCGGTGGTTGGGAGAAATAGAGCTGCCAGGATCCCGGCAGAGTCCGAGCTGGTGTAGTCCACGGCGAGATTGGCATTCACAATGCCGAAGGCCCTACAGAAGTAACCCGTCGCGATGAAAGGTGTCGCGGCTTCTGACCGGTCTTCCTCTCTGCCTTCGATCATCTCTCTTCCTTCCCTCACAGTAAAGATTCTTCACACAAGGGTTCTATATGACAGTCTCCAACATGTAGACCGTCCTCAGTAGTTGCGTCGCGTTCTCTTCACATCTTCGCCACCAGGGGCCTGGCCTATTGGCCGGATGCTCCGCGCATTCGATGAGCTGCCGGATGCTGCCGGCGGGGCAGATCGTGTCCTAAAGAAGAGAACTCAAGAAACGCACAAAGGGATTTGTGGGGGTTGACGGTTCGAGGTTGGAGCCTCTCTTCGAAGAGACATCCGATCTGTGGCTTGCTGCCATGCGGTCCCACGGGGCACAGACACCGAGCCCGCAGCCGAGTCCAGAACCATGGTGTAGTGGTATCCTCCAAGAAAGGGAGCTCGGAAAGGGAAGCAGAATTTATGTGATCTGCCATTTCTTCGGAGCTGGACAGCTTTGTCCAGCCAAAACCCCTTCAAACGGGAGGGATGCTCGAATCCTACAGAATGCGGACAAAACACTATCCTCCCTTCAACAAACTCAAGCAGCACGCACACACACACACACATATATATATATATATATACATCGAGATATACATTCGCGCACTTTGCCATGGGAATAAATGGGAATGACTCGCCCTCGACCTTCGTACCTTTTCTGTTCTTGAGGCTGCTCTGGGCCCCGGCTCCAAAACGAACCACCTAATGACAAGCCCAAGGCAGCCCAGGAGCGATTCTTGGAATCGCTGCCGAAGCTTGCCACCAAGTCTATCTGGCCGACGCGGGACATGGGACTTTCCGAAAATAAGGGTACCTTATTTTGGGGTCCTTATAATAAGGATCCTACTATTTAGGGTACTATATTGGGGTCCCCTATTTTCGGAAACCCCCACACTGAGGTCTTAATTTGCCAACTCACGGGCAGCATGCTCGCATCGACAATCTTCTTCTCCGTTTTGTATGGTTCGCACTTCTTGTGTGGCAAACTCCAGATGACTCCGAAGAGCTACCTTTCGCGTCTCTTTAATGACGCTCGGCCGACATACTCCTAATAACCATCCTCGCATGCACAAGCAAAGAGGTACACCACGTAACGCGTATGTGTGCGTGTATATACATATATACACCTGATCATACCCACATGCATGCATGCATGCATGCATAGCTGTCACAAGTGGCACTTTGCTGCACGTCATTTCCGTTGTGCTGGCTAGCTTCTTTCTTGTACATGCTAAGACACCACCGCGTGTTGAGATTCATTTTTCAGATTTAGAACGACTCTGTTCTATTCTGTATCCCCAAGTTACCTGCTATCCCGATCCAGTTCATTTGCCCCACCACCACCACCACCACCACCACCACCCCCACCCCGCAGCACTTATCAAATGGCGGGTGTGCGTCAGGCCGACCACGTGCTTGTAGAAGCTTGACTGCCTCGAACTGTCAAGTCCCCGGGTTCACACACACTGTTCATGCAGTTATTTCTGAGCTGGAATGAGCTTATGGTGTGGTTTACAGCACTGTCTGTAAAGGGTGAAACATACCTAGTAGCATTCTCGCGGCAGGATTCAATCGAATTCGTGTACCCTAATTTCCTCACGAGTTCCGCTGAGCACGGTACTTCGTCAAAGCTGCCGTTCTCCTGCTTGTCATGCTTTCACAGACAGCAAGCCACTAGCAACCGGCAAAGAAAAAAAGTTCAGTCATTCCCTGAGTTCTAAGCACACAGTTCGCGATCAATGTATCGCTGACAGTCTTGCTTTTGGATCCTGTTGACTCCTGATGAAACCAAAAACTGCGGAATACATGGTTCAGAGGGCCGCAGGTTAGAATTGAACGTCCGCGGGACCAAGTTCTTTCAGTTGATGTATGTCACAGTATGTTTCTGACCGGCAGTAGAGAAGGATGAAGCACCGGCAGCTCGCTCCTGCGGGCCGGCGCTCACGTTGCCAGAGAATCCAAAGCAGTCGCTATCCTCAAGGCATCCGCATGTTTGCGAGACTTGCACTTTCCACTTCGAACTCGCGACTGGGTCCCGGGCTTTCTCTCTGCCCATGCTACCATAGTCGAGGTTGAGGTAGGTGTAGGCCTGGTTGTTCCTGCCCGCTAACATGACGAGTCTCAGGGACAGCAACATCCAGGGCTGCAAAGCCGTACATCGCATGGGAGGTCCCTGTGGATCCCAGGATCATCAGATCCTGGTATTGCCCAGGCTTCCTCGGCAACGCTGGAGATTCCTCTGTTCACACTGTGGGAAGCGGGGTGCCTAAGATGCGAAACGAGAAAGATGTTCTCATGTTATCATGTCTCCAAACCCGTTCTTGCAGCCATGTTCTCGACAGCTGTGCAGACCTGCTACGAAGAGCAGGCTAAGACAGCCTGACCATGCCCACCCCCGGCATTTCACAGGCTGTTCTAGTCTTTTTTCCCTCCTGCAGGCGCGGCTGCTCCCTTCGTCTGGCTGGCGTTTCCGGCACGAAGACGCCAAAACATAATCTCAGCGCTCGTGGCCGTGTGTTACTTTGAGTAATTACCCCAGCGCCAAAGCTCCAATGCGACATTAGCGCCACACGTGTCCACATCCGCGTCCTTGCTGGAAGTGATTCGCCTTGTGGGACTGAGCGCCCTCACCTCTCAGCAACTGCTTCCGCTGCTTCCATCTTTTCGTCTTTTCCATCTCTTGGGGACCCACGTGGTCCCTGACACCCGCAATCTGGCAGATCATCGAGTCGTGCTGTCCAGGGGCCTCGTAAATGCTGCCGGCTTGGGGTATCGCATGGCGATATCGATATCCGAACCGATGTGCGAGTGATCCGGAGTCACCAGCGTGGAACTGCTTTCCTGGGTGTGTTGCTTTCTGATCAACTCTCGAGCTCATCAAGCAGTAGGAAGTCTGGCCAGCGCACCTTCCTTGCACACAAAAGCTGCACGGCAATCGCAACACGATATCAACAGACACGTTAAATCCGAACTAGCGATCGCCCCGACCCCAAGCAAATTCAGGACAAGAGTCTCTGCATCCTTCTTGTGCAGATGAATCCTGAATCAGCCAATCTTGATCCAATGAGGCAGGTATCAAGCACGCGAGAGGAGCTGATGCCCAGAGGCCTACAACTGGGAACCCAGCAGCAACCAGAGCTTGGCTTGCGGGTCATCCTGGATCTCCTCCTCCCTGCTCATATCCTTTGCTGTCGTGCGGAAGCTCGGCGCCCAGTGACTGGAACAATCGCTGCAGGCCGAGTACGACAATGGAAACCGGATGCATCCCGGGAAGCTTAATGTGTCTTGGTGACCTCCTACCCCTAGTCTGTTCACAGAGTGCGCTTCCAGGTGCTTTCTGCCTCTATCCTGTTTGCAGCGTTTGCTTCTTGGTGATCTCTGTTCCTATGCTGGTTGCAGCGTGCTGTTCTTGGTGCTCTCTACCCCTAATTACCCATATCCAGCTGGCAAACTGTGCTGCCTGGTGATCTTTGCCCCGATCCTGTTCTTGGTGCTCTGTGCCCCTCTCCTACTTGCAGTGTGTTGCTGGTGGAAAGTACCCCTCTGCTGTTTGCGGCGTGCGCATCTTTCTGTTTGCAGCGGTGCTTCTTGGCGCTCTCTACCACTATCCTTCTTGTAGTGTGTTATCTTTGGTGTTGACCACGCCTGTCATGTTCAGTATGCAGTGTGCGTTTCTTGGTGCTCTCTTCCCCTGTCCTGCTTGCACATGGTGGTCTCTATTCCTGTCTTGCTTGCAATGTATGCTTCTCGGCGGTTCTGGTACGAGTTCGAGCTTCGCCGTGACTTGTTTCCCTGTCTTATGCTAATTCGATGCTTCGTCCCAGGCGCCCAGTAGCACTCCTCCCAGTCCAGGTCGAGGCCAGGTGTGCCGGTCAGAAGTGTTTCCCCCTTTACAGAGACGAAGATCCTTTTCGGGAAGAACTCCGCCTTGATGTCTTTCGGCACAGTGTCGTCCGGGATCTGCGCCTTAACCACGACCTCTAAGCCATTCCTTTCCCATGTATACTTCCCATTTGGACCCTTTCCACCCTCCCCCACGTCGTCCCGCCCGACAAGTGGAGCCTCCCACTCCGGCTCTACATCATCTGGGCCCATGTCATCGATCTCTTCCCAACCCAAAAGCTCAATGTCAAACCGCACCGTCGCGTTTGGTGGTATCTTCCATCCGGCTCCCTGTGCTCCATAAGCCACAGACGAGTCCATAAGAAAGAGCGATCTCCTGCGAACAGCTCCGAATTTTTGGTTCAGCTGCAGCATGCCCAAATAATAAGTTATCACTCTACTTCCCCAGTCATTGTGACACACTGATACTAGACTGGGAGCGAGTGGCTCACCCTTCATCATGGTCGGGATACCTTTGTCCCAGCCGCCGATGACAAAGCCCAAGCCGACTCGGAATGTGTACGGCTCATGTCGCGCACGAGTGTCATCGAAGACCTAAGTGAGAGTGAAATCCACAGCGCTCTCAGACTGCGTGGACTGGTTTCTAGTTACTAGCTGTCGTGATGTGATCCTCACCGTGATGATACAGTATACAGTCGAGACACGGTCCCATCCTCTAGGGATCCGATGAAGTGCACCGTGACCTGCACAGTGGAAGAGGCAGCATACTTCTACTAAAGCATACACATGCAGAGAGAGCCTCAATGTCGGACACCCACCGGAAGAACAAATTCAAGGGTTTAGGGTTGAGGGTCAGCAGCTGGGCGATGCGCAGACCGAAATCATGGCCCATCCAGGTGATTGTCGCCACTTTGGACACCCCACGAAGTTGCATAACTTCAAAAGTCGCAAGACTGACGAGGTTCCCTGGTTCGGGGGGCCCATCCCTGTCTGTGACTGTTGGCACTTCTGAGACAAAGGTGACGACCCTCACGAGGACTTCGGGTGTATACCGTGGGCGGGTGTGGGGGGGAGGGAGAGGACGTACCGACACGCGAGAGATGTTCTATCTGCGTATATATATATATACTTGATATACCATGTCATATAGATGTGTCGCGCTCCCGGCTCCTTTCCTTGAGTGTGTAGGTTTGAGGTTCAAAAAGGACCTTTCATATCTATACACCTATAAACCCTTAACAACCCCACCACCCACAGAGGGGGGGTGCGGGTTCAAACCCTAAACCCTAAACCCAACACCCACCACCACACCGC